AAATAGTGATTATCTTGTTAAAGGTAGAGAAGAAACCTCAGAAATCACTTTACACATAAATTGAGGACAAAAGATGTATGATCATTTGCTCAATGTCATCCAGCTATTTAGCATAATAAATGCAAGAGAAGAAATATTACAAGACAAAATCGGATTTAACTAGCAGAGAATGATAAAATGTACACTATAATTTGTGAAAAAAGTGACTGTGGGCCAGAAAGGACTTAAAGAATTTGATCTGACTCTTGAACCAACAGACAGAATGTGAGGAATGTTCATGGAACAGCTGATTTGTTAAAGTGGTGCAGGGAGTATTAATTGGAGTAGAAGGTAATATAGTCAAGAGCAATTAAAATTTCCAAACAAGAAATATATACTTGATTGTGTGGAAGAGGAGAGACATCTAAAGTTTGGAGAGTTTCTTAGAAATGTCCAGGTAGCAATATGTTAAGTCATCCTAAGGACTTGAGCTAATATACTCCAATCTACTCATAACTGTATTTCTAACATGCTTTATTAAAAACACTGAAACTAGGAAAGTTTAAAAAAATACATTGTTTTTCTTCAAAGTATATTTTCACTGAACTTAAATCTATGACTCTCTAAATTTAAAAGAAGTTTTAGGTAAGTCAAACTTACCTAAATTTGGTCAATTTACTTTTTGTATTTTCATTATTCATGTTTTCATTTTCAGGATACAACCAGTCTGAGTTGTGATACCTCTATGAAAATAGGCTTAAAAGTATTGTCACGTGCAGCCAAGTGGATATAAAGCTGATTTTTTTTTTTTTAATTTTTTTAGAGACAGAGTCTTGCTATGTCACCCAGGCTGGAGTGCAGCGGTGTGATCACAGCTCACTGCAGTCTCAAACTCCTGGGCTCAAGCGATCCTTCTGGCTCAGCCTCCCAAGTAGCTAGGATGACAGGGACACGCCACCGTGCTCAGCTAATTTTTTAAATTTTTTGTAGAGAAGGGGTCTCACCACATTGCCCAGGCTAGCCTCAAACTCCTGGGCTCAAACAATCCCCCCCTCAGCCTCCTGAAGTGCTGGGATTACAGGAGTAAGCCACTGCACCCCGCCCAAGTGACTTCATCAACAGCCAAATATTATCATTTGTAATTAATGAATCAAAATAAGCAATTATTTTAAAAGAGTGACATAAGCAACATGGCAAAACAGGAGGCTCTTGACTAACCTTCCTTCCACAGACACACCGAATAAACACCTACACCCACATCAATTCTGAGAGAAAGCCAGAATCCAGTTCAAAGACTCCTATATACTGGACTACTGAGAAAATACCCACATCAAAATGGGTAGGAAGGCTGGGTGCCAACATTGGTCTGAGCAAGGATTTCTTCAGCAGGACTCCAAAAGTAAACCTCTCAATAGCAAGAAAATAAATGACCCTATTTAAAAATGGGCAAAGGATCTGAACAGACATTTCTCAAGAGATATGAATGGCCAAGATACATGAAGAAATGCTTAACATCTCTAATCATCAGGAAAACACAAGTTGAAACCACAATGAGATAACACCTCATACCTGTTATAATGGGCATTATGAAAAAGATGAATGACAAGAAGTACCGGTGAGGATGTGAAGGAAACCTTTGTATGCTATTGGTGGTTATGTAAATTAGTACAGCATTTTGGAAGACCATGAGCTTCCTCAAAAAATAAAAATAGGATTGCCATATGATCCAGCAATACCACTTCCAGTTACATATCGTAAGCAACTGCAATCAATCTGCACTCCAATGTTCATTTCAGCATTACTCACAATAGCCAAGATAGAGAAACAAGTATCCGTCAATGGATGAATGGATAAAGGAAATGTGTGTATACACGGTGGAATATCACACAGCCTTAAAATGGGAAATTCTGTCATTTGTAAGAAAATAGATGGAATTGGAAGGCATTATGCTAAGTCGAATAAGCCAGGCACAGAAAGATAAATACTGTATGACCTCACTTTTACATAGTATCTAAAAGTCAATCTCATACAGAGAGTAAAAAGGTGGTTACTAGTGGCTGGTGGGTACGGAGAACGAAGAGGAAAGGGAAGATGTTGATCAAACAGAATTTCAGCTAGACAAAAGGAGTAAGTTTTAGTGGTCTATTGCACAACATGGTGACCAAAGTTAGCAATGACATACTACATATTTCAAAATCGCTAGATTATTAACATTTTCAACACCAAAAAAAATCCTACATCCTTTTGTAGTTCATAAGCATTATGATTGGGTTTTTACATGTGTGAGACACGCCTCTCTCAAACTTTGTTACGAGGTCAGCAACATTACTCGTCTGATGGGAAGAAAAAAAAAAGAAATAAACTAGTGAGGTGGTGGATATGTTAATTAGATTGACTAAATCTTTTTATAATGTAAATATAGATTAAAATATCATGTTCTATAAATATACACAATTATCTGTCAATTAAAAATAAATGAGAGAAAATGAGAGGAAATAATTTAGACTTGTTCAAGTATATAATTTGACCTTGCTACTTACGTATTATCAAGTTTCAAACTTAAATTTATTGTTTCAAATAAATACAAGTTGCAAGATATGTAATACCAACAGATTTAAATCTGTAAAGATGTTCAATTTAAAAAATACTTTTAGAATTACAATCACTGAGACCACTAATTAAAATTCCAACTCAATTATCTTAACAAAAGATATCAAAAGTAATTTAAGAATTCTATCTTAAATTGACTAGGGATAAATTAGAATGTCCTAGTTAACCCTAAAATTTGAGTAGAGATCTTCACTCAAAAATGTTGATCTTATCGTAATTAAGTCCAGAACCGTAACTTTACGAACAGGGTTGAATAAGGACACAACTGACTTGAGAGAAAATTGCTTTCGAAAGCATCATTTACTGCAATAACTTTCTTTCTGCATTAAGCAACATCACAAGACTGCAAATATTGAATAATTACAGTATTTCTGAATAGCATGGATTTCTATATTTTGATAGGAGTGACATTTTAAGACCAAATATGCTAAATTTTCAGCACTCATACTGAAAAACAAGACAAATATGAGGCAGAACTGGATTCAAATTCTACCATAGCTCTAAGCCTGTTCACCTGAAAGATGTGTAATGCTTACTTGTCTTAAATGATAGTTGTTAGGACTAAATGAACAACGGAAAACAACTTAGTAAAGCTCTAGTAGGTACCCAATTAGTGGCAGCTATTAGATATACTCAGGAATCTTCAATTTTTTTCAGTCTTGCTGATACATCATTATGTGTTTAGGCAATATGTGGTAGAATACTGTATTTTCACTAGAGACCAGAATTTGCAATACTTTAGTGGCAGAGCTGAATGATTATGGAGGGTGGGTGGGCCATAATTCTCCAGGATGTTACCGGTACTGCACTTTAATCCCTCCTGAACCATTTGTGATTCCATATCATTTCTGTAAGCCTGTCATCAACAGAAAATTATTCAGATATCTGTAGTGACAATCTGGTTTTTTTTTTTTTTTTTTGATAGGGTCTTGCTCTGTTGCCCAAGCTAGAGCGCAGTAACGTCATCATAGCTCACAGTAACCTCAAACTCCTGGGCTCAAGAGATCCATCTGCCTCAGCCTTCTCAGTAGCTGGGACTACAGGTGTGTACCACCATGCCCACCTAATTTTTCTATTTTTTTGTAGAGATGAGGTCTTGCTATGTTTGTCAAGCTGGTTTCCAACTCCTGGTCACAAGCAATCCTCCCACCTCAGCCTCCCAAAGTGCTAAGATCACAGGCATGAGCCACCGCTCCCAGCCTACAGTGACAATCTTTAAGAACTGTGAAACTGTATGTTTCCTGAAATATCAAAACCCTATCTGCTCAACCTATTTTTAATTTTCCGTAACACATCTAATTAAAAATTTGACAAGGTCACATATAACACTAAAAAATAGAATGCTTGATTAATAAGCATTATTTTCCTCCAACAACTCAAGTAATAGAAAGACTTTTGATTACACATATCAAGTACATATATAGTGACAAACAACTATTCACTTGAACATTGTTAAATACAAAGCAATAAAGCATACTTTCAAATAAGCAACTAGAAATCATACCGGTCTTCAGCTTTAGTGAAGTACTTAGAAAAGTTTATTTTGTGCTTAGAATATTATTCTAAGCATCAGAAATTATACATCCAAACTCTTTGATGTCAGAATATTTAATATTCTAAAGGAGAGAACTTTAAAGAAAACTGTAATACACTATGATATCATAAGTCTAATAGATTTACATAGCAACAGAGCCTTGAAAAAGGGGGACATTACAGAAATCATCTATTACAAAATGGTCAGTGGATCATTGTGAGCATTTACGATTTTTCCTGTTCTTATGGCTAATACAGTCCTCCATGGCACCCCTACCCTGGCTGTAAGGTGAAAACTATGTGTTCTAACTCTTTAAGGAGTGAAAATACACTAAACATTCCATCCTGCTGATTTCCACCTGTGGAATACCACACAATATTAGTAGTCAACAAAGAACAGTGAAATATGAAGTTTGTCTCTTTAAAAAATAAAAATGTTATGATTTTTAAATATCAAGCATACAGACCAAATCAATTAAGAACTTTCTACATATGAAGACAAAGATACATTTAAACTTACGCTAGAAGATGCTTTTTCCTGAGTAGAATGCAAACTTTATTTTGTATCAAATTAAGTTGCTGTGAATTTTCAAAATGTAAAATAACAAGGTTTTTCCACATCAAATAAAAATCAGGAATGTTCACTTCACATCCAAAAAAAAAAAAAAAGAAAGAAAAATTCAAGCAGAAGTTCAATAAGAATGATATAAAATCTGAAGTGAATGGCTACTTCATAATTTCAAATTATCTATGGATAGCTCAGTTTGATGGATCTCTCTGTAAACTTCAGTTGAAACAACAAGAAGTACTGTTACCAAAACATGAAAAACATTTCCAGGAAATTGTCATCCATTTTGAAAAATTAAAAATGTAACTAATGGCAAATAAGCAAAATATAAACCATAAACCATATACTGAACAAAAAAGGCAAACCTTTATAGGAGGATACCATGAAGTTATAAAAACTTCCAAAATCAATAGCATATCCGGTACTATCATGTGCAGAAAACTGTAATTGAAGAGTTTTTATTAGTTGCATAATCTAAAAATGAGGAAATTTTGGATTATATCTCTAAAAAGACCACAGAGTTGTCATTGAAATACACATTTCTTGAGATAATGGGCAAAGTTCCCATTTATGGGAAATATGTTCTTTTTTTCACACAGTGAAACCAAGAAAAATTATCAAATGAGAAACCTTTTTCTCTAAAGTAATCTTCTTAAATATCCTAATAATGCAATATTTGGGAAAATTATATTTTTAAAACTCAGACTTGGAATAGGTTATTATTAAACAAATATACACAAATCTTATTGCTTGGCACCAGATTTTTCAAAAATTAAAAAACTGTTTAAACCACCATACTGTTCTTAAATCATAATTTAAATTATACCTAGTGCTTTTATTTTCTGAACGTAGACTGTTCAATCTAATGACAATCTAGACGGAACCCTGCAATACACAAGCAAGTCACAGTTCACTTCAAACCAAAAGAAATGATGAATCTTGTTTTTGTCAAAATCATAATATGAAGATATCTATAAAAATTAACTAGGATTTATCTGTGGCCAAAGATTGACCCACAGAGCGTTGTCTTATGGCATTCTGTGGCAAGTCTTTGCTTGTTCCTTCTTTGCTTTCAGCTTCCTCTTCCGAAATATCTCCTTCATCAGCCTCTTGTTCCTCCTCCACTTTTTTCAAAGGTTGAGAAGATTCTGGTAATATTTTTTCTTAAAGACAAAGACCAAAAATGTGTTTTTGTTGATGTATTAGATTTAAAATAAAATTAAGATACAATAATGACTCATATGCCTGTAAACTGCTTTGGCATTTATTTATCATGTTTGGGTTTCCAAAAGGAAGATGTTATTAAAAATAAGACCAAAACAAAAACCCCAAGTGGATATTATTAAAATAAAATCAGGTTTGGAAGAGCCATATTACTTACCAAATTCATTCAAATTACCTATTTATAAACTGAACTGAAATTAATGCTGTGAATATGTAAAAAAAAAAAAAAAATGGTGCATTAGGGAGAACTATCTTATATAATTTGCTATTAATTTCTTGGTCAATAAGTATATTAAAACATCACCACTATCCTTGTTTCAGTTTCCAAGAGAACAGGAATCACACATTTACAGTTTAAGATTATACTGTTGTCCACATTTTTTTCTGTTCTCATAAATGTGTTTTCCCTCTCCCTCCCCATCTATGTAATTTTATTAAGGTCTAATTACAAACAATAAAATATACAAGTCTTAATGTACAGCTAAAGGAATACATAAGTATGTATGCACATATACATTCTTTCTGTTTTTTATACAGCCAGTTGCTAGTTAACTTAAGCATAGAGCACACCATAGTGAGAACTGGGCCAAAGAGCTTCACTCTGTTTAGTGATCTCAGACTACCTCTAATCCTAGACAATCCAGAATTCAGGGGGGACAGGGGAACGCAGGTTAGGATGGAGTTAATAAAGTAGAACTATGGGAAAAATTGTCAGTAGTGGACAACTGGACGTCTACCTGGTACCCCTCTTTCTTTGGGGTTAACACACCTTCCCTGTGCCACATCTCCTGTGGTTCTGGTGAATACTGCAGCTTACAGCAGTGGCTCTTTACCAAGGGTAAGTTTGACCCCCAAGGAACACTTAGCAATGAGTGGAGATATTTTTGGTTGTCATATCCGAGGCAGGCAGTACCACCGGCAACTAGCAGAATGCTGCTGAATGTCGAATAACATACAAAAGACAGTCCATCACCATTAAGAATCATCTGGCCAAAAATATCAATATTGTCAAGGTTGAGAAACCCTGATTTACAGTGACTGTTCCAAGAAGTGAACCCTTTACACAAATGGAGTACACCAGAATTTCTCCAAAATAGTGGGTATAGGAAGAAAATGGATTTCCTTCTTACACTAGAATTGTGAGCTATGGCTTTCTATAATCATCTTACGCTGACTGGAAAGAGCCAAGCTGAGAATGGAACAAATAAAGATATGGAGAACTGAGCAATTCAGAAACACAGAGCATCTTAACATCATTTGAGCCCCAAGATTATAGTCAACTCTGCCCTCAGACTCACTTGCTACATGACCTATAAATTCCTATTTTGCTTAAAGGTAGACTGAGTTAGGATTCTTTCCCTACCAACTCAAAATCTAAGCCAAACACATATCCTGAAAAACAACTCAAATTATGTGACCTGCTACACAAGGGACAATATCACATTAAAGTCTGAATTAATATCTATCAGTTGCATCACTAGAGGAAAACAAATTACATATCATATCCATAGTATTTATTGAGTGTTTATTAGTAATATGTGTTACCAGAATAATATGAGAATTACATACCTATCTTAAAAGCATCACAATGATCCAATGAGGCAAGTATAATTATTTCCATTTCACAGAGGAGGAAACATGCTCAGGGGTTAGGAAATGTCTGTCATATTGATTTATCAAGTGGTAGCACTAGAATCCCCAAGCAGATCTCTCTAGCTCTAAGACCATGCTGCCTTCTGCTTAAATCATTTGGGAAGGCATTCAGAAAACCCATTACATTATGCCTCTCAATCTCTCCAAATTAACAGATATTTAAAGGTACAGATTTCTCTAGTGATTTTATTGTGGATCATAACAGAGGAGAGACAAACTTAAGTAGCTTGACATGAATTAGCCAGTTCATTTTTAAAAATTAATTTCCAAGAAATGAATTTCCTTGTAACTTGTTGAAAGAGGTAGAGTGTCACCTCTGCCATTTCCTTAGGTTCTACTGTTAGGAAGTTTCTAAAATTGTGCCTATTCATTGTTCCTACCCTTTTTGTTTGAGAATACTTAGCCCCTTTTGCATATGCCAGTTATACATTTCACAACATATTCCATAGAAGGGAGCTTACCAGAGCCAGAGTCAGTATTCTTTTAAGAAATGTATACGGTCAACACCAAAAGACAAGCTCTTTCATGGTCCAGGGACTATAGATTTTTCTATTGGTTGGTAACCACTTTCTCAAAGACAATGGTTCTGAAAGAGTAGTCTTCATATCAGCAACATCAACTTCACCTGGGAATTTGTTAAATATGCCCCACCAGAGAACTTCCGAATCCAAAACCCAGGATGGGGATCAGCATCTGTTTCAACACATTCTCTAGGTAAGTCTAATATACTCTCAAGACTGCTTTAAGTGGTAAGACAACTCAGACTCCAACACCTACATCCTCACATAGAGCAATCACTCTACACAAACTCCCAAAGTAAACACTTGGCAGACAACTTTGACAGAGAAGAGAATCAGGCAGTAATGATTCAGCCTACACATTGCATGTTTCAGTATGAACTTTGGCACGTTTATGGGATCCAAGGCCAGTTGCACATTGATCACCCTAAAGAATTTCTGACAGCCACAGGATTTAGGTGAGAGTGAACACAGACTAGGTAACCAAGAAAATTAAACATAATACAGATGCTCCTCCACTTTGGGGTTACCTTCCGATAAATCCATCATAAAGTGAAAATATCCTAAGTCAAAAACGCATGTAATACACCTAACCTATCCTAATATAACGCGAATGCACTTAAAACACCTAAACTAACCTAATCTGCCCAACATCATGAGAATATCATATGGCATTATCAGTACTCCCAGAAAAGATCAAAATTCAAAATTTGAAGTATGGTTTCTAATGAATGCACATTGCTTTTGAACCATTGTAAAGTCAAAAAATTTTAAGTTGGGCCGGGCACGGTGGCTCACACCTGTAATACAAGCACTTTCAGAGGCTGAGGCAAGGGGATCGCTTGAGGCTAGGAGTTTGAGACCAGCCTGGGCAACATAGCAAGACCCCGTCACTAAACAAAAAAAATTTAGCCAGACACAGTGGTGCGCACCTGTAGTCCTAGCTACTCAGGAGGCTGAGGCGGGAAGATCATTTGAGCCCAGGAATTCAAGGCTTCAGTGAGCAATGATTGTGCCACTGCAATCTAGCTGGGGTGACAGAGCGAGACCCTATCTCTAAAAAATAAATATTTTAAAAAATTTTTTAAAAATCGTAAGTTGAACTATCATAGTAAGGGACCTTCTATATAGGTATTTTTATATACCTGCCTGTTGTATTTACTAAATCAAATATTATATTGTAGATTTGATTTAAAAGTTTGTGAATGAACATTTTATAGTTATTTCACCTCAAAAACTCTTAAACCGAGACCATTCTTCTAAATGAAGCATAGCAAGAATGGAAAAACAAACACATGTACTCACTATTAAACTGGAACTAATCAATCAACACTCATATGTACACATGGAAGTAAAACTCAACAGAAATCAAGCAGGTGGGAGGGGGCAGAGGGGTTGGTTAAATTCACAGCTAACAGGTACAATGCACAGTATGTGGGTGACGGGCACACTTATAACATTGATTCAAACTGTACAAAAGCAATACATGTAACCAGAATGTTTGCATTCCTGTAATATTCTGAAATAAAATAAATTAAAATAAAATTATATAAAAAAAACAAAAAAACCTTAAACTTAACAATAAATTTGTCTTTTAAGTAATCTGTGCTTACATTTTCTTCCTATAGGTCAGTGGCCCTTGGTGGATAAAATGATTCCCTCCCTCATGCATGTCCTTTCTGATATCAATACAACTGCACAGAAAATGAAAAGATGACCTATCAGTCATCCAAGGGACAACGTACACTATAAATGCAATCTCCATTGATTTCATTTAAAAATTTTGATCTCAATAAACCCAAAATCAAAAAAGGCAGCATAACAGAATAAATACCAAGCAGTCTGATTTAGTTCTACCCTCAGCTCTGTCATCTCTGTGTGACTGTGGGGAAATACTTCATCTCTCTGAACCTTATTTTCCTCAACTACAAAATAGGAACAATTATCACTCATGGAGACTATTACAGAGTTGCTTGCTGAAAAACAAACAGGATAACAGAAAGGTAAGTAAAAGTTCTTTAATAACTAGAAATATGAGGGCTTCCACCAACAGCACAATTTTCAAGATTAAAAATAAATGATTGGTAGATAATTATATTATTATAACAGAGAGCAGGAAATGTTTCTAATTATATAAACTCACTTTGTAGTACAGTTCAGTGTCAATGCCAATCCTAAGTCAGCTACAGGAATTGCTTTTTCCAATATGCTACCAGAAGACACTAAGAACTGGCTGGCACTCAAAGAATAATCTTCAAATGCAGTCACTATAATGAATGAATTCTAGAGTGGAATAGATTCAACTTATTAAAATTTTGACTCATGTATGGTTAAATGGCTCCATAAATAACATGAAATTTTCAAATAAACTGATATCAGGTCAATATTAAATATCCACATGCTATATGCAATGGCAAAATTCTCCATGTTATAAGAGTCAAGAAGATAACAATGTTCCAAATTCCACTGGACTACCATCCTCCCATAAAACATATCTGCTCCCTTTTCCCTTATGCCACTGCTGATCCAGACCACCACTCAACATTTACAAACCTAATCTGGAAGGGCAACCTGTTAAATGTGCTATTGTGTTTACAGAAATGAATGGGAATATTAAAATAAACATTTTAAAATAAACTTACTTGAAGGGTATGGCTGTGGTCTGCGCCTTTTTGAAGGACAAAGGCAATCTGCCACAAATATCATACACTGCAAAAGTAAACATTATAAGAAATATTAATGTAAAATATGATATAGCTAGTGCAACTATATTAAATTATCACATTTAAAAATATTTTTCTTGCTAGTACTCTGAAAATGTAGTACTTACGAGTCCTAATAACAGTCCTGAAAGGAGAGTTACTAAAGCAAAAACTGCATATGATCCCCAAACCGGTAATCCAAGGTCTTCAATAAAATAGTTATGGCAAGTCTAAAATCAAAAGAAAAAAACTGTTCATTTGAAAAAAAAAAAGGAATGGTGTTAAAAATGATTAAGATAGAAATAATTTTTTAGTCCATACCCTGATCCACATAGAAAGCTGGAAGAGTGCTGACATACTACTCATCCTAAAATAAAAAAGAGATGATTGGAAAACTAAGTAACATACACAACTTTGTCTATATCTATATATTCTATTTTCTACTCTATAATTTCCCTAACATGACAGATTTTATTGCTGGTGTTAATCAAGAGTAATGATACATCATAGATTTCATGCCTGTAATAAGGCTTGTTCACAAAAAGCAACTGTTTCTGAATTATTACTACCATGTGACATCTTTATAAATACTTGACAATTTTTTTCCTTTTCTCCTATTGCTCTGACATTAACATTTCATCTTTCATCTGATGATTTCTCCAATGTACTGAGTAGAAAGTTACAAGCTCTATGAAACCAGTTGGAAACAACAAATCTTATTCACCCTCAACAGCCTCCAGAGAATGACCAAAGGGAGCCTGAAGGAAGAACTGGGAACACTTGTTTACCTGATTCTTCCCACTTAAGAATTACCCCTTTTTTATTAAAATTAATTAAAATTCATAATAGTATTAGTTTGATATCTTTTAATGCTATAAGAAATAACTACATAGGAAATAAATGCTAAGTTATCAAATAAGTTATCAAGTAAAAATAATTATTATTTTACACAATTAAATCCAGGTAGTAGAGATGGGCAGTTTGAAAAAAAAAAAAAAACATGCTTCAGAAATTAGAAGTGTTTGTGAATTCTCGACCATTTCCCCTCTAGAAAGAAGTGTTGCTGGCGTTGTCAAGGAACAAAGCCAAAGCTACTGTAGGATGTTCTGATCCAATTCCCATCACTGGGGTGATGAACCTGCTGAGCTGACAGTGGGAATGTCCCCTATTCAGTCTCCCAATAAAACAACAAAAATGGTATAGACTGTTGCCTGAGGATTCAACACAGACTTACAAGCAACCACTTTCTTCTACTGGAGAAGGATAAGATTGATTTACGAGACAAGATTCAAAGAACAAAAATGAGTTACATTTTCAGTTCAACATAGAAAGGTACTTTAATTATGGTGCTTCTGTCTTTGAAAAGCCAAGTGAGAATAGGAATAAGGAACTGAAATATACAGAACTGCACAGCCTCACTGTAATCTGCATTAACCTCACTATTTCAGGAGCGTTGGGTTGGGCATGGTGGTTGTATGGGTGAGTTCTGACAGCTAAAAGACAATTCAGAGGTTTTCTAGGAGAGGCTTGGAAGGGAAAGACGCTCAAGATAAACTTCTACTTCAAAATGCTGATCTTTCCTCCACTCCCAGAATCCCAACTCTCCACCCTCCAAGGGCAAGTGTGGTGATGGACAGGAAGAGACAGCTTAGCCACACCAAGATGACTCCACAGTGACCTCAGCAAAACTCTCAAATAACCAGTGAGGCAATGCACCCCAACAGTGTAGCAGGAAACTGTTTTTTCTAACCCTCACCATTCCATAGCTAATTGCTATGGAGAAATGTATATACCTTCCAGCTGTCTATAAAGTTCCGTGGTTAGTCACACTATTAGGGTCACTGTTCATCTACACTATTCATATAAGAAGTTATCAGACAGGTGGAATAGCCAACTAAACATTATTCAATCACTTTACAATAAAAATTGAAATCTAAAAGTAGCATGAGTATATGTTTGAGCCTTCTCATTCAAATTGTTACACTCAAGTGATAGATTTACCTATTACCTTGCTCATACTCTTAGGGGGATTTGGTTTTTGATGATACATATGACCAAATCCACCAAGCTAAAATATTCCTTAAAATGGTATTCAACTTAATTCTATAGAATGCTTCCTTCTAGCTTAACAAGCAGGAAAACATTTGTCTTAAAAGACAAGGTCAAACCAAAAATATCAAACACATAATAAATCAGAATATACCTTAAGAGCCCAAGATACAATTGAGTATGAATGCTTTATTTACATGAAATTATCTGTTCCAATTAATTCTGAAATAGGTAAGAGAAAAATCCCTCATACTTACAGAACAGAACCTGGACCAAACCATGATGAAACAGGTTCAATACTCTTCCACTCTTTATCACTGATAAAGTTTATGAAGTCCTTCTTAGTCCTTGGACCCTGATAGCGTCTAAATTCACCATCTTTACAACTAAAGAGGATCAGAATTAAATATTAACCAGCACTGAGAAATAATTTCACGTTTATTCTGCTATTTCTTCATCTCCTTTTACAGCCAACCCTAATATTCAAAAGCATTAGCAATGCACAAGTAGCAAATCATAATTACTTACTCATGACATCTTAGCCCAAAATTTCATTAAACAATGAGGTTGCATTAAAAAAAAACAAAAACAAAACACAAAAGCTGGGCATGGTAGCTCATGCCTATAATCCCAAGGCAGGGGAGGCCAAGGCAGGAGGGATTCTTGAGGCCAGGAGTTCAAGACCAGGCTGGGCAACATAGCCAAACCCATCCCTCCATCTCCACCAAAAAAAAAAAAAAATTAGCCAGGTGTGCTAAGGTGCACCTGTAGTCCCAGCTATTCGGGAGGCTTGAGGCAGGAGGATAGCTTAAGCCCAGGAGTTGGAGGCTGCAGGGAGCTATGATCACACCACTGCACTGCAGCCTGGATGACAGAGCAAGACCCTGTCTCTTAAAAGACTTAAAAAATAAATAAATAATAAGCTTAGACTTTTTTATTATTATTCTAAATAATAAAACTATGAAACACAGTAAGTAGATAAATCTCAGAAGAGCACTTTTAAACTTTATATGAAATACACATATTAAAGGAATTACTATATGAAACGTTGTTAGAATAGTGTTTGACACGTATTAATTGTTAGCTATTGTTAAACCTCAAATTAAAAATTTAAGGTATTTTTCCAGTACTTTCAGTCATAATCACGTCGCCTCAGCCATCCTGCTTTAAATTGCTGGAAGCATCTGGTACAGTGCTTCCCTTCCTCCCATTTCAGTGATTGTATTCACAGTCAGCTTTGCAGTCTTCCTTACATCCACCTCCTCTTCCCATTCCCATGCTCTCCCCGCTCCCACGTCGCTATGTGCAAAAACTCAATAGTTCCCTACTGCCTACCGTAGGGTCAGGGGAGCCTTCATCTAAACAGAAGTAGAGACCACAAGAAAACCTCCACTCAAAAACAAAGTTTTGTTGAGAAGGTAGCTTTGAGTATTCTTTGAAGGACGGGTAGGATTTCAACAGGCAGAAAATAGGGAAAAGGGCATGGTAAACAATTTGACTAAAAGAAAATGGGCAGGAAATTCCAGGTAAGTTCAGGGGGTACTGAGAAGTGAAAAGGAAAGGGAGAGATTGCTCATGGCCAGTTAAGGACATGTGTGGAAAAGGACTGAGAGCAAAGGGAGGGAAATAAGCACTTATGAGACAGGGAATAGAAATTTAAATAGATATAAAGGGAGTAGGGGTGAGTTTTAAAAACATGGAAAAAAAAAAAGAACAAGAAAAGGTATAGACACACACAAAGAATTGCCAACTTGTTTTTCATAACTTTAAACCAAGAGAAAAGTACCTCCTGGTATTTAACTAACCAGCTAGATGATGTTAATTAAGGTACAGAGCAGGTACACAGATATCAGAGTTCCTACCCCCAATTTAGAAGATGAAGTCAAACTAAAAGACCTGACACGGAAGACCACATAATCTCATTCATTCTGATTTAACACCCAACCATATCACCCACTGCTCTTCCTAAGTCTGTGCAACAGCATTTTCTTAGCTACTTTTTGAAGACACCATGTTCCCATTAATGGCTATATATGAGTCTGTCCTCAGAAGAGAATGCTGACCTTGCGTTCTTAAAAATTCTACTTCTAAGGTTTCATTTAAACCCCATATTCTCTAGGAACCACTCCAAATAACAGTGATTTCTCCTTTACCTAACTACCTATAGGACTCACCACTACTATGGACCCTACATGCTGAAGAGATATTCACATTTCGTATGAACATCACCTTCCAAAACAATTGTCAATCTGTGAGAACAGGGGCTGTTTCACACATCACTCATCTATCTAAAGGCACCTTGGGTAACACTAAGAACAAAATAAGCCCTCTAAAATACTTGCTGAATATAATGAGATTACCTCAGCCCTTCAAACATGATCCACACCAGAGGCCTACTATTCTGATTACACTAGGATGTATTCTTCTCCATAACTCAGAACCTTCAAATACTTACTGATAAATAGTAGGAAGAGCAGTTATAATAAACCGTCCACTCAGTCCTACAAATGATAAAGAACACACAGCAGGTTTTTATATGGGCCAATCATTGACTACTTAAAAGTTGACACTGAATTACTTAAATATGTACTAATAGGAAAGAATATGAAATTAAACTTAATGGATGAGCTTTGTGATAAATAATAAAAAAATTATATACTCAAAGCAACTTTAAAAAACATTACTGCATATTATCTCAATTAAACAGTCTGTGAAGCTTGAATATTAAACATGTTTGTGAATATATACAAACACCTGATCAATTATGCCACTGTCTAAAAATTAAGACTACTAGTCATGAGTCAGGCACACAACATAACAGGGTCTCAGAAAGTCTAAATAAAATGAAATTGCACTTGATATTCAAGTAACAAAAAGCAGTTTACAGTGTTGATAATAAATGAACAATACTACGAATCTTTCATAAGACAGGCCATAACACTAACCGTTAACATTATTTTTAGCCATGTATCAATCACTAATATAACTGAGGATTAACCTTGCTGTGCCTCAGTTTTCTTCTCTGTAAAATGAGATTACGTTATCTCACAAGACTGTGTTAAGTAATAAATGCAAAACACTTGGAAGACTGCTGCAATAGGTAAGTGCTCAATAAATAATACTTATTACCACCATTTGGGATAGGGCAGCCAGGAACCCACATTTATTGTGACCACCAAGTAGAGGTAAGATGAAGCTGGTCCGAGAAAGGAGCATCCTAAGGGCAGGGCCTGCCGCTTGTCCAGGGTACCAAGTCATATTCTCAAGTTTGGTGTGGATGCAAATGATGGCTTGGACAACGTCCACCTGGACCACAGTGTTCTAGGACTTCCAGGCATCTTACATGCTAGTCTGGAGACTTGGATGCAAAAAAAAAGAAAAAACCAAAAAAACAGACTAGAGAGAGTTCTGTGGGCAAGAATGGGGAGAGGGTGATGTCTTCAAGGTCCCTTAGAGCAACAAAACAAGAAATGAACTGCATACACAGCTGGGGAGTTGGCTTTTTACAGCTGCTGCAAAGTGAGACCTCATCAGGGAAGAAGGCTAGGTGAATCAGCTTAACTAGCTGCAGACTGGGTGCTATGTTTTCAAAACCTAGGGAAAGGCAGTGTTAAGACCATGTCATGTGAAAAATAGGATAGACATATCAACCAAATCAGCAAAGAAACAAACCTAACCAATTTACAGTACCTGGCTGCTCTGTGACATCTACTTTTGCAACATTAACCTCAAGATCTTCTCCCCATTCAGCAAAACTTTCCCATTCTGGTTGAAGATTTTGACAAGCCGGGCACCACGGGGCATAACTAAAAATAATAGTTAAAAAAAATGTTAAGCACTTTAATATGACCATTCATCTTGGATAAAAACTTTAAAATGTATAATTTGTGAGGAATACTTTATACTAAAAATGCTGAAGATGATAAAGTGATTAATTTTATGCAGATGAAAAAGTTTTAAGTGTAAGTCTAACAATCTTGAAATCAAGAACTACAAATTGGTACTAATCACATAAAATTATGGGAATAAGTTCTTAAGACACAAGGACTTTTTCACATGCAAAACAGCTCTTTAGAAACCTTTGGATTTTTCTATTAAAATGTGGCCACAGAAACTCAAAACCAAATTTGGAGTTCACCAATTTTAATAATTTTACACTGCAGAGTCACAAATGCAAGGTGTTGGAAAAACAGCAAGTGCCCTAGGCTGCTATGAATAAGGAAGAGCATGCTCATTTTAAGGTGGCAACCACTACTCAGGATTGCCAAAAGGGAAGGTGGCCCTGAGGCTAGCTATTCATATTTAAAAGCTGGAGATCTGCATTTTTACGTTAAGAAAATTAATGTCAAAACTTAACCCACACACCAATACTAAGTAGGCCATACAAAACTCTTGGCCAGAGAGGTCAGGCAGTTTCCAAGATCTAGGGCTAACAAATTCTATGGCCAAGCACATTAGCATTTTAATTACTCCTCTGGTATTCATTATCTTCCCAGGCTCTAATCTTTACCTAGGATTTTATTTTTCACTTTATTATTGTATATTATCTAATAATATACCTCAGCTTCTGTTTTTCTATGGAACCAGGAAGAATAAAGCCTATAGCTGTTAACATAAAAGTACAGTTTCTGTACTTCACATTTTCTTGATTTGTTTTAGGAAAATCAAACTCCTAAAATAGGCATTGTAGAACAAGACAAACTGGTATTACATATAAAAGCCAAACTCCTTGACAATAAATTGTATCATAATGAAAACATCTCTATAACAAAACTTCCGATCAGAAACGGATTTACTAAAGATAATTCACTTGTAATTAAAAGCAGACTATTATTAGGACTATTAGATCCCTTCAAGTTCGTTTTGTTTCTCAGTTCCTTTCTAAAGATGAACTTAACCTTATAATCTTTAGCTTAGGAAAAACACTACTGTATACTACAATCTCAGATATATACTCTAATTTGGATTTACCTCATATTCAGTGTTTTATTAGTTTTGTTCCCCTTCATACTACTTCTGACGGCTATATTTATATTGTTTGATCAAATGAGTTATATTTCCTCTCCCTTGAAGTGTCAAAGGTGCCTGAAAATTCATTTCACTGAGTTGCAAATTATATGTATACTACATTTTCCCCTATCCTACCCTTCATATAAATGTTCTAAGTTTGTTGTTTTGTTTTTTTTTAATAACTCAAAGGTTACTGATTTGGTCTTCTGGGTTCCCCTTTGGAGATGTCCATTTCCACCTGTTTCCTTAACTGACAACCCTAGTTGCATCCACGATACAGAAAAACACTCACCTGAACTTTGTTAAAGAACGGGGTATCCTAACAATTATTGCATGCCTACTCTAGAGATCCAAAGAAAGCCAGCATAGTAACATCTGGACAGGTTGAGGTATTTAGGCATCTTTTTCTCATCTGTAACATGGGGAAATACCTATCATAGAGAATTTGTAGGGAATTAAATACGATAACATATGTAAAAGTGCTTATCAGTGTCCAGGACATAGGTAACACTCCATGGTGCTTTTATTAATATCAGTAATACCACCAGTATTGATAAAACCACCACCACCAACGTAGCATCTAAAGCAAAGGCAGATAGTTTATTTCCTACTGCTGCAGAACTGGCATTATTAAATTGGAATCACTACATGAGGTACGATTTTGTTCAAATGATAAATGACCATCTCTTGGGAGTTTATAATAATCACATCTAATTTGTAAATTTGTTAACTTTATCTTTTAATGCAATACCACTTACAAAGGCCTAGAAGTCACAACGCAAGGCATTCTCTACACTGCAAAAATACACATCCAAAGGAAAAACGAGATGTGGAGTGAAAAAGAGAAAGATAACAGAAAAGGAGAGAATAGGAAACTGAGATTTTAAAATAACCCAACCTGAATTTACTCGGTATTTACAATAAATGTACCTAATTCATAAAAAATAAACAATAAAGAGTCCCAAATTCCAACATTATAAGTGGACTATCTTTTAAGGATAGACAAAAGGCGAGGAGAGCTTCTGCTCATTACCCTCTTCTGTAAAGCTTGATGAAAACAAGTCTATAAGTCTGTTTATGAAAAATCACTCTAAAATAACTGTATGGGAACTAGTCACACCCCCTTCCCCACCCCAATCCCATCCGCAAAGTCAAGAAGAAAAGTTACAGAGAATTCGAAGTGGCACGTAATCTTTTAAGCGCACCATAGACCTAGAAACGAAACTAGGGTGCACACTAGCAGAAACTTAATATTCCCAGGTAAGGAACGAGAATAGGGCAAGTCTTGGGATCGGAGTAGGGGACGCCAGCTACGCGACTCCGAGGGGCAGTCCCGAGGAACTTGGGACTAGCATTAGGAACGTAGGGGTGAAGTCGTGTGTCCAGGATCAGATATAGGACCGGGACAACCGCCCTGCACTCACAACTCTATCATCCAGTCTCCTTTCAGCAACTCTCTCCAGTTCTCGTCAGTAATGACGCGCACGTTGCTCCGCCGCCCGTGGGTCCAGGGAGCACCCCAAAGCAACAGCACCAGGACCGCCAGGGAAACCACTAGACTCCCGGAGCGCGCCATGTCGGCCGCTTGCCCACCTCACAGCGAGCTCGACGGCTCCACCTCCTAGCAGCAGCTCCTACTTCCGCCCTGAGTGCAGCACTGCGCATGCGCACCACGGCGCGGCGAGTCGCGCTTGTCTGAAGGAATCTCAATGCGCATGACAGAGCCTGGTCCCAGAGCTTAGAGAAAGAGGGAAGAGCGCCTCTCCGTAGTGCGCATGACAGAAGAGCGGCCCCTTCCCCCGCCTGGAATGCCCTAGTGTCGGGCGGAAGGAAGAGAGCTAAAGCGGGCGCGGTGTGGAAAGTGGGGCGGTGCTTTGCGGAAGGGTGGTTTAAAAGTCGACACCAGAATTTTGGCGCCAGATGGTTGACATTGATATTTACTCGAGCCAATTGGTAAGCTTATACTGTGCTAAAAAGTTTCCAATTCAATGCCCTTCAGAGTTTTGTTTCCTTTGAAAAATTTTGTAGTAAAGGTAATGGATCTTTATAGGAGTTAGAATATTGGTTTACTTCTGAGGTATTATAGACTGGGAAAGTGCAGAGGGAACCTCTTGGGGCACCCTTTATAGTCTACACCTTTATATGAACAGTGATTACACGGGTGTACAAATATGTAAAAAATGATCGAGCTGTACAATTTATGCACTTTCAGGTGTATGTTATCCCTCAATTTGAAAAAAAAATGCGGTAGGTACAGAGATCCTAGATCAAAACTTCAAAATGGAACTAGACAAAAAGGCTTGTAACATATATTTGAGATTTTTTTTCCTCAAATATTTGTAAATACAAATGCAAACCAAAATGTGCACCGCCTCCATCTGTCAAATGAAAATTATTGCCACTACACTTCCTCACCTCACCTTCTCTCCTGAACTCACTCCAACTGGTCGACTTCCCCACTCCTTCACTGAGTGGACCTTTCAGGGACGCAGGTAATCTGCATGATAACAAAGCCAATTGTTTCTTTTTGGTATTCATCTAGCTTGACTCCCAGCAGCATTATACAGTCACCAGGGCTCCTTGAAACCTTTACTTCCTTTCATGCTGAATGGCTCACTTATTTTTCTCCTTCCTCACTCACTAGCTGATCCTTCTCAAACTTCTCGTCTGGTCCTCCTCTACTTGACACTAGCATGCACCAGGATGCTTTACTGGTCCCCTCTTTCTCTTCATATCAATGCATTCCTCAAAATAACCTCATCTTGGCTTTAAAAGCCTTCAATATGCCTGTCATTCCATCTCTGACCCTTCTGGGAACCACAGATATGTATGTTCAACTCCTTGCTAGACATCTCCCGGATGTCTAATAGGCAGCTCAAACATCACATGGCCAAAAAATGTAATTCTTGATTCTCCCTCTGCAACTGATTGCTCTAGCCAAAAATTTACATATTAATTCCCTGTTGTTCCCTCTCTTCATCTGCTCCTTCTGTACTCTGTTAGTAAGTCGTATAAACTCTACCCCCAAAATATTTCCTAAATCTGACTACCAATTTCCATCTATTACCTGTTTCCTTGAGTACCATGAGAGCTTTATATATTTGTGAGAAAATAAATTTCTGTTGTTTAAGCCACCCTAGTCTATAATATTTTGTTATGGCATCCTAAGCCTACTAAGACACTAGACCTTAAGTACAATGTTGAATAGAAGTGGCAAGAGTGGCCAGACCTCCTTGTCTTGTTTCTGTTCTTACGGGAAAAGCATTCGGTCTCTCAACCACTAAGTAAAATGTTAGTGTGGGTTTTTCGTAGTTAACCTTTATATAGGTGAGAAAGTTTCCTTCTCTTCCTGGAAGGTTGTCTGTTTTTATCATGAAGAAGTGTTGAATTTTGACAAATGCTTTTTTGCGTTTGTTGAGATGATCATGTGGTTTTTGTTCTTTATCCTATAGATATGGTATATTACATTAATTGATTTTTGGTTCTTTTCCCATAATATATACTTTTTATTCCAATAGATTTAGGGGGTACAAGTGCGGTTTTGTTACATGGATATATTGTATAGTGATGAGGTCTGGGCTTTTAGGGTACATCACCTAAATAGTGTACTTTGTACCCAACAGGTAATTTTTCATCCCTTCCCACCTTTGGAATCTTCAATGTCTATTATTCCACTCCTGATGACCATGTGTACTCATAGTTTAGCTCCCACTTATAAGTGAGAACATGGCAGTATTTGGTTTTCCATTCTTGAGTTATTTCACTTAGGATAATGGCCTCCAGTTCATCCAAATTGCTGCAAAATACATTATTTCATTCTTTTTTATGGCTGACAAAAATATGGAATTCTTCACAAATTTGTGTGTCATCCTTACGCAGGGACAATGCTAATCTTCTCTGTATAGTTCCAATTAATTGATTTTTAGATATTAAAACAACCTTTCATTCTTGGTATAAATCCCACTTGGTCATGGTGTATAATTTTTTTATGTATTGCTGGATTCAATTTGCTAGTATTTTGTTGAGGATTGTTACAACTGTATTCATAAGAGATATTGGTCTATAGTTTTCTTGTGGTGTCTTTGTCTGGTTTTGGTATCATGATATTACTGGCACCATAGAAATGTTCCTTCCTCTTCTATGTTTTGGAACATAGTGTTTTGTGATGAATTTGTATTAATTCTTCTTTAAATGTTTGCTGGAATTCAGCACTGACGTCATCTGGGCCTGGGCTTTTCTTTGTCAGAAGTTTTTAAATTACTAATTCAATCTCTTTACTTGTTATATGTCTATTCAGATTTTCTATTTCTTTTTCAATCAGTTTTGGTAGTTTGTATCTTTCTAGGAGTATGTCCATTTCATCTAAGTTATCTAATTTGTTAACCTAAAGTTGTTCATAATATTCTCTTATAATCTCTTTTATATCTGTAAAGTTTATGTTAATGTCCCTTCTTTTGCTGCTAATTTTAGTAATTTGAGTCTTCTTTTATTTCTTGGCTAGTGCTATGGTTTGGATATGGTTTGAGTTTGTCCGCACCAAAATTCATGTTGAAATTTGGTCCCCAATGTGGTAGTGTTGGGAGGTGGGACTTAGTGAGAGGTATTTCAATCATGGGGGCAAATCCCTCATGAACGGGTTGGTGCTGCTCTGGCAGTAGTGAGTAAGTTCTGACTATGGTGAGACTGGATTAGTTCTCTTAGGAATAGATTAGTTCCCTCAAGAGTGGGTTGTTATAAAGCCAGTATGCTCCTTGGGTTTTCTCTCTTTGCATGTTTCTGTTTCCCTTTGACCTTCAACGTATAGAAGCCCTACCCAGAAGCCAGGGCCATACCCTCGAACTTCCCAGCCTGCAGAACCATGAGCTAAATAAGCCTATTTTCTTTGCGAGTTACCTAGCCTTAGATATTCTGTTATAACAGGGTAAAACAGACTAAGACAGTCTACCGAAAGGTTTGTCAATTTTGTGATCTTTTCAAAGAACTAACTTTTAGTTTTATTCTCTCTATTGTTTTTATATTCTCTTTGATTACTTCTTTTCATCTTTATGCTTTGGGTTTAGTTTGCCGCTTTTTGACTCTAGTGTTTTAAGGTGAAAGATTATAGGTTATTGATTTGAAATCTTTCTTCTTTTTTTTTAATGTGGGCATTTAAGCTCTAAAATTTCCCCAACACTTCTTTAGCTATATCCTGTAGCTTTTATTATGTTTTGCCATCATTTTATTCATCTCAAAGTATTTGCTAATTTCCCTTCTGATGTTTTTCTTGTCCATTGGCTATTTAGGAGTATGTTGTTCATTTCTACATGTTTGTGAATTTCCCAAATTTCTTTCTGTTATTAATTTCTAATTTCATTCTGTGGTATGAGTCCCCAGCCCCTGTGAAACAAAAAAGAAAGAAAACAGGAAAAAATTCTATAGAAACTCCATACCAGGAACTAAAGTTGTAAAACTTGCTTATGACTTCTGTAACTTGCTTGCTTATAAAAACAGGCCTGCACCAGAAAGATAAGAATTCAAAGCTGACATACATGTCTGACCACTGCCTGCTCAAGATCCTGCCCCTCACTAAGAATAGAGATAACCACATTGTAACTGTTCCCCTCACCCTTCCTAAAAAATGTATAAAGGACTGCTACACTCTTTGTTCAGGGCTCAGAATTTGGACCCTCTACTCTGAGCCTCACCAGTGAATAAAACCCTCGTCTTCTTCCTCACCTGGTCTCTGGGTCAGTCATTAGAAGAAGGATCCTCCTTCTCCTCCCACAACAATTCTATTGTGATCACAGAGCATATTTTGTATCCTTTTTTAATTCATTGAGATTTATTTTATGGCTTGGTATATGTTTTATCCCAGAGAATATTCCAGCCCTTGAGGAGAATTTGCATTTTTCTTTTGTTGGGTGAAGTGTTCTGTAGATGTCTATTAGGTCTAGTTGGTACATAGTGTTCTTCAAGTCCTCTATTTCCTTGTTGATCATCTGCCTACTTGTTCTATTCATTATTGAAAGTGGGGTATCGAAGTCTCCAAACATTGGTTGGTCCGAGTGCAGTGGTGTTTACAACTAATTGATCACAACCAGTTATAGATTCCTTTGCTCCTTCTCCACTCTCCCTGCTTGACTTGACCAGCCTTAAAAAAAAAAAAAAAAGGCCGGTGCGGTGGCTCACGCCTGTAATCCTAGCACTCTGGGAGACCGAAGCGGGAGATCGTTTGAGCTCAGGAGTTCGAGACCAGCCTGAGCAAGAGCGAGACCCCGTCTCTACTAAAAATAGAAAGAAATTGGCCAAACAACTAAAAACAAAAAAGATTAGCCGGGCATGGTGGCGCATGCCTGTAGTCTCAGCTACCTGGGAGGCCGAAGCAGGAGGATCCCTTGAGCCCAGGAGTTTGAGGTTGCTGTGAGCTAAGCTGACACCATGGCACTCTAGCTCAGGCAACAGAGTGAGACTCTGTCTCCAAAAAAAAAAAAAACAAAAAAAGAAAGAAAAAAAAATAAACTAAAGATAAAAATGAAGTCTCCAAATATTGTTGAATTGTCTATTTCTCTGTCTTCAAATCTGACACTTTGTGGTTCGTATATTTTGGGGCTCCGAAATATATGTCTTTATAATTGTTATATATTCCTGATGGATTGACCTTTTTATCATTATAAAATTTCCTTCTTTATATCTAGTAAAATTTTTTGTTTTATAATCTATTTTATCTGATATTGGTAT